GTGAAGTTCAATTGCAAAACTGGTTCTTGGATTAGGTTTCTGATGAATCCTTGTTTGGTGTTTTTGTCTAGTGACCATGCAAGCTCAAAAGGAAGCTCCTTTTGATATGCAGTGCAAGGACAAGTTTCTGATTGAAGGTGTAATAGCTAGTCCTGAAGTCACGGCCAAAGAAGTTACTCGTGAGATGGTACTGATTAACATTGCTGATTCCGATGCATTAATCACAGTTTGGTTGCTTATTTTTTCCGTCTAATGAAACTTTACAGTTTAACAAAGAAGCAGGACATACAGTTGAGGAGACTAAACTGAGAGTTACTTATCTTTGCTACGACACGAACACCATCACCTGTTCATCAGGGATCAGAAGAAGGTTCTTATGTTTGTTGATAACGCAAATGCATCTGAATTTTTCTTTAGAATTGAGTGTTTTAGTACTTAAACTCCTCTTTACTTTATTGTATAGATTTTCTTTCACTAGTAACACTCTTAGCGATGTCTCTTGCAATGGAATTGGAGCTGCTTGCCACAAAGCTCGAAAGAGCAACTAGTAAACACAGGGTAAAAATCGATTGATTCGGTTCACAATATTTTTAAAAAAAACTCAATTGATCTTGTATAGTAAGTTGTTTGCACTAAAATCTCAAAGACAACATCAATGACCATCTAGATAACCATATGGATTCGATCTAGTCGTTATCACGGTATGAAAATTGAAAACTAATTCAAACTCCATTATGGATTCGATCATTCGAAACAGCACATCTGTAAAGTTGTGAAGACAAAAGCAGAGCATTCTAGCTATACAAAAAAGTTAAGACTATAGTTATATGGTCTTGTATTTTACCTAAGTCAACGAATCAATATTAAATATACAAATACTTTTCTTAGAAAAACAGAGCATAACGTAGAGTAAGACTAGGCAAAACATAGACAAATTTAGTTATTCATTTGTGAATTCTAATCCATATAGTTAATCCATATTCATTTGATCATATAGTTAACTAAACATAAACATATAAACCATTACTAATCCATTACTAAACCATTACTAAACACAAATGAGCCCCAAGACTCTGTGAATTAATAGCAAGATTATAATAAAAAGTTAGTCTGGAATACTACTGTGAGCCCCAAGACTTTAGGATAATGAGCATCATGAACAATATATGACAGTGATAAATAACTTTGAGAAATAAAAGAATTTCAGACGTGAAATTCAATTTGGAATCATAAAATTTAGATTGGAAAAAATTCATCTTAGTATAATAAAAGGACAGACAGACGACAAGAGAAATTTCAAAAAATGCCACTTTTTCAAAATTATTTTTTTTTATATTATTTATGTTTGAGTTAACTATGTTCTATTAGGGTTTAGTTATGAGGGTTTATGGGGGTTTAGGGGTCAAAACATTTTTTAGTGTTTAGAATTTTAAGATATAGAGTTTAAAAATCTATAATTAGTGACATTTTTGCAAATGTGTAAATAAAAGGTGGTATTTTTTGTAATTTCTCCAAAAGACAAATATGTAGATGATCTAAGAAGAATACAAATATGTACAATAAAAACCATG